TAAACCAAAGAAGTGTTTTTGATCATTCAGCATGAAAAAGGAGATCATAAATGGAAAATAACCCCTTTAACATTAACATTAATACAAACACATATAAATTTCTTATAAAATCATTGAGGCCACGGCCACAGGAATCCCCTCCCATGTCACTTCAATTGAAAATAGATTCTCATAAAGGACAAATTAATTCCCTGAATGAACTGCTTTGTGGAGTTAATACATTTATTTGACCATGGGCATATTTTAAAGTGTTTGAATGGTGGATGACAATAGGCTTTTCAAAGCTACACTAAGCTTTAAAACTATTTAAAAAAATTAGTTATGTAGTCACGAGTATTTTATTTGCAGACTCTCCCCAGTCTTTGCTTTCATCTCAAGAGAATTCAATGATTTCTTATTATCTTTGAGCAGCCTTTCAGTACTGACAACTACAATGTAGTAAGAACACTTCATATCTATTCATGTTTGCCAGACTTCTTTCAGATGTATATATTCAGGAGGATATACATATACATATACATATACATATACATATACATATACATATACATATACATATACATATACATATACATATACATATACTATATGTATATAGGATGCATATGCTATTGTTGCTTGAAGACTGGGAGAAATTAAATACATACATTTGCAATAATAACCAACCATACCTCACGACAAGTATAAAAATGTGGATAAACTCCAGGATCTTTGTGACAGGTTATCTCAGCCGATTCTCAAGAGCCTCTCAGCACCATTTAGGCCCTACCAAGGATTTTCCTGTTTCTCAGGTGAGAGCTTTAACCAAATGCCCTAGCAGCATTTTAAACTCTGCTTCTATTTCTACACTTCCTTCAGTATCACATCCTACTTGGTAAATCTTGGTGAAGTAAAGGAAATATTTTTCTTGTGGATAAACTTGATTCTCAGCTTAAGAAAATAAGAAATAAAAGTTTATTCAATACAGGGACTATCTTTTAAAAACTTACAGTGCTGTGCAGTACAGTAAACTATTGGTCTTCTGCAATACTATGGCATGTACTTAAGGTAGACTTTGTGCTGCTTTTGGTCTTGAAATTTGTAGGTATTTTGTCAAACAGCATCCCACTTCTCTGTCTCTACTTCATGGCATTGTATTTTTAGGTAAAGCACTGCTGCCTGTGAACAACACTAGGATTTGGGGCCTAGTGTTATAAACGGCCATCAGTATTTTTAGCTACTTAGGCGGTAAAACAGTAACAAAAGGATTTCTTCCAGCAGATTCCTACCTTGAAAATTGAACTGATATCAGCTGGACAAACCTTGAGCTAGGCTTACTGACTAATTATAGCTGTCAAACATCATGCCCTGGCATGTTCACTCTGTCTAGATTAAAATGCAAGGAACAGCCAGGAACATTTAAATTCAAAGGGACAGTGAGTGGAAGATAAGGACCAAATCTAGGAGTGTTGTTATTTAGACACAATGGAAAAAAAAAAAAGTGTAGAAGAGTAAAGTTGTAGTGAGAGTACAGTCTTACTAGTACAGTGTAATGGAAGTATTTATTTATTCAGCTAAAACACAAATATAGATTTTAGAAAAAACAGTAGAAAAAAAACTAGATTAAGACAAATAAAGTAGAGGTATAACACAAGCGGAACACTGCAATATTAGCTAATAAAATCTATCTGTATTTTACTTTAAAAAAAGGTAATTGCATACTTCTTTCTGTGCCACACCCAGGACACCTCGCATTTTTGTCTCAGTGGCAACTCTCTTCTCCTTTTGCTGCTAAAATGAACCACCAGGAAATACGAACACAATTATATGCATAAACTTCTGGAAAAAGTCTAATACCAACTCTTTCTTGTAATTTATAAAAAAAAAATAAAATTAGAAAAAAAGAAGCATTCTTTAAATAGGATATTCAAAAGGCAAGTGACTTTGCAGATACAAAGTTAGTTGTGTTAGCACTTTGATCTATGCCAGTGAAAAACTATTTTTCAGTTCACAGATAGGGGACATGATAATTGGAAAGAAAAACACTTTTTCTTCGAAAACTCTGTTGGATATGAACTGGGACTGTTAACAACATCAGAAAGTGACAGCAACTCTTGGCTTGCACTGAGTTGTAACAAAGCCAGTAATTTCTGTGTTACTGCTCAACATTGATCATAAATTTGTATTACTCAAATGAGAGGAAAGCAGAAATATTGTTTATAAACAACAAACCCCACAAATATTGAGAGAATCATTAAAAGCATGCAAGAAGGGAAAAGATTCCCATAAGATTTATTCCAGAATTTTACTATTGATTCAAATCTGTGTACTTCTTTATTGATTCTGTTTTGTAATTGTTCATCAAACACTATTATATTTTTCAGGTTCAAACTATTAGGAAATATCATTTTATATCATTTTATATCACTTTCTAGCATTTCAATTTATTGTAATGAAGTCAAAATATGCAGAACTACATGGTAATACAAGAAATATTTTATTTATATTATAATCTTCATGAAATTGTTTTTAAAATTGCTAGTACTTAGAGATCTTCTGAGAGTGTAAATGCTTTATTCCAGCCATATGTCATGGGATTTATATTTTCAGGATTTATATATTTCAACCTTACTTACAAATTACTTTTTACACTCAGCACTCATTTCTCTTCCTCTTGAGCACTATTGATTCTGAGAGTGTTTTTATTCTCTTGCTTGTCCATCTTTCATTTCCACATTTGTATGCACCCAGAGTATCAACAAGAAGTCTCAATGAGCAAAGCGTGTAAGGTCTCACGGACTCTACTCCTTCCTTGCTGATTCCCAGAGGATAAGAATTCCACTTTATTTCCATGTTATTTGACATTCCCTGTGCATAATACTGCTCTGTCTTATCTAACTTACTTCATTAATGCTATATTTCATGATGATTTGTTTGATAATATGCAATGGAAAGATAAGGCCACAAAAAGTTGCATTTTAAATAAATGCAAGGAGGTACTACAGGGTAGTCAAGGTATCTTCATCTCATTTCATAAGGGACCATGATGCATGCTTTCTGTACATTTATTTTGGGGCACTACAGGACCTTAGAACCAGCACACAATGTATGTCCTAGATATTTGGTGTGCCTGACTGCAGAGAGAATTAGGAAGAGAGGGAATAGTGAGGCCAAACCTTGCTCAACAGCCTTTGCAAATGTTGGCTGGCTATGTGCTCATTTGTTTTTAACTCAGACTATTTCTAACCTAGAAAGGTTTTCCCAGTTCATTCAGCAAGATCCCCTTAGATGAAGCATTTCTAGGTAAAAATTTGAACTACCTCTGTGGCAAAAATAAACAGAACTGAATATCTAAGAATCAATCTTCATTTTTCAAGATAATTTTATTTTGAGTACCGATTTTTGTCATGATTTAATTAAAGTTTTCTAATCTCTGTATTTTTTCATACATTAAGATCATATCAAACCTGACTATCTAAGCTTTAGTGTAAAAGATTCCACAAGGATTTCTAGAACTTTCACAACTCAATGTGTAATTCACTTAAAATTATTTTTAACACAAGTAAAATCACTTAAAATGATTTTTCCAGGTACCTCAGCTAGGATTTGAGATCCAGAACTGAGTTCTTCTCCTGTTATGTATCAGTTCTGAAACGTACTATGAAGCCAAATCAATTCTCAGTTATACCATCTAACAACAATGCCTTCAACTGCTTTTGATAAATATGCAGATTTACAAGTCCACAAATCAGACTGCAGTACTTAGCTAGCATTCTCTACTGGCACATTCCTATCCCAAAAGACTTTCCTAGAATGAGCAGAGTGTATAGCCTGAGTTAACAAACTAAATGTAGACAGTCAGCTTTTAAAATCTTTCATTTATCACTTCCTAATTCCAACAGAATCCCACTTACATATTCAGGAGAAAATAAATTTTCTTTAAATGTCATGAGAATGATAAAGTATTTGCATTATGAAGATGCTGATTAAAATTTATTTAATAGGCAGTTATTTTTTTTTTTAACCCTCATCAATTGATTTGAAAGACCTGTTCTATAACATTATATTTTGATTTTCTCTAGTTTTAAAAAATGCAGTCCTACAAAACTTACCCAGACTCACTGAAACTGAAAATTGAGTAAGGTCTGCAGGATTGGCCCCCCTACTAAAAAAGCCCAAGACACATGGTGCTGAGATTAACAAAACAAAGTAAGTAAAGCAGCTATGACTTGGCACAAAGTTTGACAAGCTGCAGAAAAGCAAATGTTTAAATAACTGAAGTGGTACTGATTTTCTATTCACAACCTTTTCTCTCCTAAACAGTATCATATTCTTTTCCAGCACATTTAGATTGCAAGTCAAGCTGTGTTTTATTTTTTATTATAATAAACCCAGTCAGTTTACTGTAACAAAGACATACTAGTGGTGATCAGTGTGAAAGCCAGTACGAAATCAGGCTAGGAAAAAAAAAAAAGTCAAATGGTAAAATAAAGGACCAGCCGTCTGGAAAGTTCCTGAATCATGTAAAAAGAAAATAAAAGGCTGTGTTCTTATGAGACTAATGCAGAATACAAAAATATTTTAAGACAAAACTCTGTATCTTTGTTTACAACATTTGTTAACAGCAGCAGCAAATCTTTCTAAATAATGTTGCATTTAAATATTTTTCAAGCCCTCCTAAAAAAAGAAGTGTTCTTTTTTTACAATATAGTTCTAGTAATGTTGTTTATCTGTTCTTCTCAAAATACCATTTACACAAAATAAAACTCTAACACATTTTTGCTATGTTTTTTTTTTTTAACATGAAAAACAACTTCCTGACCTAATATATATATTATATATATATATAACATATACATATATTATATATATGTTATATATGTTATATATATTATATATACATATATTATATATATGTATATATATATAAAATCTATGGGTATTAAAAAGTTTTTGCATGTTTTATCAGATTTTCAGTAAATGATGGTTTACCAAAAGTACTGTATACATAAATATCTTACCACATTGTTAGCTAAGAGTCTTCCATTTTCAAGCTCTGTCTTCATTTGTTCTTGAATTTCAATCAACTAAAATATAAACACATGAGAGTTAGTGTTGGATTTCTTATTATAAACAGGCATAATTCTCTAAAACTTCTTTCTAGATACAGTCTCCCTGATCAGGAGACTACATGTGGACAAGCATTTTTATATTATAACTGGTCGCAGATAGGCAGCTGGGCTACAGCTGGATACTTTCATGGTAGGATTTAATAATGCCATGAGTCACACATAGAAAGTTCTCCTGATGTAAGCAAAATAGAGTGTGATGTCATGTGGGGTAGGAAGATGACAAAAACATTAGAAACAGACTTCGATGACTTACACTCAGAAATGTGGCTAACTGTCAGTGAGTTGTGGAAACCTGTTACAGTCATACAGCAGTGGCAGTGGCAATCCTTCTGTTACACATTTGTGTAATGATCAGCAGAATTCTGTACAATCTGCAGGGAATTCTAACAGATCCTTGTAAAATACACTTTGCCGGGCAAATTACACATTTAACCTCAGCAAAGACAAAGGATTGTGCCTAAGGAACAATTTAAGCAGGACTTTAAAACGAGCTTTCAGAAGTTCTGGGATCAAGCTTGGTTAAACAGTTACACTGCATGGCAAAGCGTCCTTAGGTTCTGCTGGTTTTGAGCTGTCAGAGCTACTGTCACTTGGGACTTGCAAGTTAAACATCTATATTTCTCAGTGTCATGAAGAAGAGAGTTTGTTACTTACTGAATTTGCATTTAGAACATATTTAAAAGGGGACAATGTTGAGTACAACACTGTCATTCATTTTCTTTCATAAAAATGGAGAAACGCTCCCCTTCAGCATAATAACCTAGAAGCTGGAATGCTCAGCCACAAATCAGGGCAGCCTACATTGTATGCCTCTGGGAGTTTTATGGGGCTTGATTACAATATCCCAAGTCATGGAAAAGTAGCTTAACTACCACTCTATGATGAGAATAAGCCACCAGTTCTGTTCAAGCTGTGCCATTGGACTCAAAGAATATGAAATTCATGAGACTAGATACAGAATACTCATGCATGAGCTTCGTAACATAGCAAAGCTGTGACTGCATGAGAAAGGGAGAACATTGTGTTTTGACTTACTAGATCATTTATGAATTTTACATTAGATTATGAACTAAGAGGAAAAAAAAAGACAAAAACACCAAAGAAACAAAACAACAACCTCCCCCACTAAGCACACACACACAAAACCCTAACAAAGGTACTCAGCAATAATCCAAAGAACAAATGTACAGAAAAGTTCCCTCCTCTATGCTGAGTACCCTTGCCTGTCATGTAGAGATTGTGCCTCTTCTGTGCTTGCCTTCCATGCACCCAGCTTTAAAGTGAATATTTTCCAAACAGAACCCAGTGTAAACTAGCAGTTAAATCATTGGTATATAGAACTACGTGTTCAAATGTCCTCAAGTTCACCAGAACCCTAGGCAAGTGCTCTAGTCCTTATGAGAAACTCAGTGCCTGCCATCTCTTATGAAGCTTTGAGAGAAATCATAGGGGCAGCTGCTCACAGGCAGGGCACAGCTTGGCTGCCTGGGCCCAGGAAGAAGTTTCAGACTCCAAGACCCACTTACAATACATCAATCAGTATTTTCTAGTTAGTCAGTTAAGAGACAGAGCTTCCAACATGCTTCACCATCACTTACTACCGAATGATTCAACATTGAGTCTGCTTCAAATCCCATTTTTAAGTGTCAACTTTTCCTTACACAGCATCCATAGGATACTGATGTCTGCATCAACTTTGTGAACTCCATTTCTGGAGTGAAGTTCCAACTGTTGGGCACTGCAGTAGTGCATGTCTTCTTGCCTGGCTCCTCTTTTTAAAGATGAAAGAAGAATTTACACATATTCTGCCTATCAAGTGAACATCTTTCAGTGGGATATGCAAAGAAGGGGAAAAATGTCAGAAACTTCAATAATTTGGTTAATCATTTAGAACTGTAGCTTTTCTTTTGGCAATGGAAATAATCCGTTTTGTTATCAGAATTGTAATGAGAAGGATCCAAAGGATTCAGACAGCAATACAGTCTTACAGTTTATCTAACTTGACTGATACATATTATGGATAGTTGTATTGGAGGAAGTTTTGGAGGAAAGCACATGATCCACATTTACACAAACGCAGCACTTTCAAATCATGTGAGAGGAAGGTAAAAATGTTCCTATGCTTCTACTCAAACCCACAGACTGAGGTAGTATCTATGGGAAGATACCGCATGTTAGAATGCCCTCCATTGTATGGAGATAAAGTGAAAGAAAATAAAGAGTAAATTTCAGGAAAAAATTTCCTGTGAGTGAAAAAATGGAGAAAAATGTACTATATAAAATATTATTTGGACTTTGCAACTGTAATAAAAAGAAATGTTCAGTATAGGAACTAATGACAGCCACTTTCTTTACACCATAATCAGACTTCAAACCTAAGCGGGATTCCTGAGCATTGTCAGACCTAAACATCAACAAAACTAACAGAAGCAACCCTTCTTTGACTGACTAGAGCATTAGGCAGACCAATTAAGTTTCCACTTGTGATTTTAGATTTCATGTATAGGATCCTGATAGTTTTTAAACTTTAATTAAATTAACCTATCGATACTCTTGTAAAGATAAGTAGGTACCAGTATTTTCAGGGTGGGAAACTTGGTCATAGAAGACAGATTCATCTAAGGTCACAAAGAAAGTCAATGGAAGGGATGATTTTAGAACTCCAGTGCCTCAGTCATCATCTATCCCCTACCCACACCCCCAAGCCCTTCTTTAAATGTGTGTTTTTTTTGTTTTTTTTTTTGGTGAGAATTTACTAATGTTGGAATAAGGACATAGAGGCATCACTATTTCCATTATACTTTACCACAAGGTGAGTTTTCTACAAATCCTTTTGGAAATGTTTGACAGAAGGAATGTTCTTTACAGGAATTTAAATGTTCTGTTAAAAATGAATAGGTCTCAGGAATGAGAACTCTACACTGTCAAAAAAAGTAATTTGAGAACTATCACAAGATAGAAAGCCAACTGGAAATATATCTAGATGTTATACCAGGAAGATGTTAAGACCTGTCAATGTTTTATTGAGATCACTTATTAATAAATACATATTAGCATTTAAAAGTTATTTTAAAAATGATTTTTATAACTCGTTCAGTTACTGTTTTGCTCATATATCACATAAATAATAATTCATATATACGAATAACTCTATCTATAAATAGCAGAATATTTAACAAATCACAGGTTACCAAAATTAACCTTTATTTTTTTAATTAACTAGCTATTTGCATATGCTCTTCTTCTTTCCCTGCCTTTGAAAGGTTACTGAATGTGTTTCTTTTTATATTAAAGTCATCAACCATTTTACTGTAGTTTATTGAGGTTCAGAATTTTCACTGCATTTTAACAAAAGTGTATGATATGATGGGATGAGAAACCACCATCCTCATTCAAGGAACACTAGTTCATTATTACTCTACAGTGAGTTACACTACCATAAAACAAAATTTATCGTCATTCAAGTTAAAGTCTATTTCTCAGCTTTCCAGCACTGTTTGGTCTATACACTGCTAATAGTCCAAGCTCATTAGTGTTCTACCAGGGATGTAGCTCATAAATGCAAAAATTGCAGTACCTTTTGAATAGTTTGCTCATCAGTTTCCACTTTTAATTGCATGCTTTGAACTTGTCTATCTGAAAACAAGAAGAGAAAGAGAAAAACCATGAAATTACATGCCCACATGAACGTATGCAAAACGTTTGCTTCAGGTCAGTCTATAAACCCAGTGGAATGCACAGTGGATGAGAGCCCTGGCAGAACGGTGACCTTCACAACCGCCCTTGACATTCACAGCCTTCTTCCTGCTGTTCAGCCGGCTGGTCAGATAGAGATTGAGGAGTAAGTTCAAGAGCCAAGTGTGACTGAGTGCCCACAGCTTTTCATTAATACTAATTCTGGACATCCTTGCTGTTAGTCACAGCCAATACAAAGTGTTTTAGCAGGTGGTTCTTTATGGCTCATACAAAACTACCAAAAGATGAGAAGCACCATTGAATCAGACGATAAACAGGAATCAGGAATATATTCTATATCAAACTCATCTTGCCACTATTAAAGGTGATACCGAGTCTCATCTATGTGGACATAACAAAACTAAACAGCCAAATACTACTCTACTGCCATGGCTTCCAGTCTTCCATTAAATATTTCACACTGCCAATGTATGAAAAGTAACTTGCAGGTAAAGACTGTACATTGTCCTTCAAGGGGAAAAAAAACACTCATTTTAAGATCTGTAATAAAGCAAAGGTATGAAAGGTAGTGGCAGCTTATTTGATAGAAACTGATCTGCTAGAAAACTTCCACATAAAACACAAAAGTAGGTAATCAGATGAAGAAATGCGTATTCAGATATTTTGCAAAGCTCAAAAACTACTCTAGAGAGAGTAGGTTTTAATACAGTTCCATTAAGATAAAACAGTAGACCATCATTTTAAAATATCAATATCTACATCCAACACTTTTCTATTTCAGTAACTTTAGCACATGTATCTGTCACAAAATATGAACTCTAACCACATTGCTAGGCAATATCAGAAGTCTCAAAAGCCACAGCAAATATTCCTTTGTCATAAATTAAAATTATGTAAATATATGCATTAAAATTAGAATAAATATGTATGAATTTCTGTACAAATACATACAAAATTAGCATTCAATACCAGAAAAAGACAACAGTCCAGAAATGAGTTGCTATCCTTCTGAAGAATGCTAACAATTAATTCCAACTTTAGTAACATTTCTTACATGCTGCAGTTAAGCTGATCATCTTGATTTAACAGCAGTTTAAACTTTTACCTAGTGCATATTTTTCTTTTTCAGACTGTTTCAGAGAATTTTCAAGACGAGAAATCTCGTTGCGCAGTTTAAAAACCTCTTCATTGAAAACCTCTCTCTCCTTTTCAGACTTTTTTTTTTCATGGTCATCATCTTCAAAGACAACCTAAAAGATTGCAATGCCTTGAATTTGTAAGTAAGGAATCGAGGATTTAAACACGCTGCACTGTTATAATATTATACAACACAGTATCATATAATTTCTGAATTCTATTACAGAGTCATAATATGAATAGAAAAAAAAAGTTGTGACTCTAAATGGGTCCCCGCTAGAAGAAAGGCTGCAGTACATTATATACAAAGACCATAACACATGGGGACATTTTATTGACAGGAATAATGCATATCATACTGTTTGTGTGCCCTCATCATTCAGGTCAATTTATTATGGAGGCTGTGTCCAGGAAGGCAGCTGGGGCCTATCCACCCACACTTCCCCCTGCGTTTATGAAGTGCTGTCCGTAACTAGGCAGGCAGGAGAGGCTGTGGACAGGCAACACCAGGGGGTTGCAAAGTGCATGGCGAAGGAGGGGGGCTTGTTGCCTTTGTGCCATTTCTCAGTGACAGTGCTGCCAGTGTCATGAGGAGCACATCACATGTCAAAGCGGTGAAGTTTTCAGGCTGGGAGCCGCATGGAGTCCATCAGGCCTTCTGATATCAACACAGTTGGTTTTCTACTTGGTGTCGGAGCCACCCAGAGGCAATTCATATTCTGAACATTAACATGGCTTTGCATGCCTGTCACACATAGACCGTGCAGGGGTTTAATGCTATTGAAGACTACGGTTTAAATCTCTATGCAAACAGTGATTACCTTGTAAGAAGGTTCCAGGATAACATACAACAAAAGACTTTAAAGTTATAGTTTTAGTAAAGCAAACTCATTTACATTTTTATTATGCGTGTCCTTTGTTTAAATCTTGCCACATCCATTATGGAAAAGACTTCTTATGCAACTGAAGCTTATTGGGACAGCTACTCTTTTTTTCTTGTTGGTTTCAAAGCTATTGAAAACATTTGAATATATTGTCTTATGGCTGTCTAGATTTTACTGCCACATATTTCTTTTAAAATTATAGAAAAGCTTTCAAGCTGGCACGAATCTTTATAGTAATACCAGAATATTAACTAACTCCTGAAACCATTTAAAATATTAACACAAAAGAGAAGACTCAGACAGCAATTACTTCGCTTACTAAGGAAAACTTAGGATATTATTTGCTTTGCTTGGTAAAAATATGTACTCTTTTTAAAAAATTACTTGAAAATAAAAATGTTAAAGAACTTTGAAAACAAAATTCAAAGGTTTTCAAATGACATATAAACTTGAACTATAATGTATTTATGGGTTAAATTTAGTCCAGAACTTTATGTTTTTCCTCAGAAAGGACAGTTTTGATCTCCAGTTTACCAGAACAAATTATCAATGTATTATATAAAGCCACAAAGTTTTCACTGATTTTATAAGAAATCATGTAAATAAAACGTCAAGTGTTTTGAAAAGTAATTCAGACTACTTTGTGTCTCTCCTTCCTTTACCGAAGAAACAGTAGCAGCTTACATAAAGACCCAACATTATTAAAAACGTTATTTTTAATAATGCATTTTTTTGGAACTCTAATAAAATACTTGAACATTATTCATTGTAAACAGTCTTAATGCAGTAAGAAACTTTCAATTAGTCTTCTGAGATAATTACTAGATTGCATGTTTTTACTGAAAACTTTTACCAAGTTCTGTAGAGAGACTAGCACAGCCTAGGGAAACCAGTAGTGCTAAGAGTATGAGCAATATTTTGCTCATACTCTTATGTATTTAATTAACATATTAATGTAATTAACTAAGACTCTGATCTAGCAATGGTCAACCAGAAACCCTGCAAAACAAACTTACTTTTAAGTAACTGTTAGAGCTCCTAATGGGCTTAGTTAGGTATTTGTTCCCTCACCCTGGCTATATATTAGCATTAATTACTGATGCTCAAAGAAGACCCTTTAGTCTTAGACAAACTAAAACGATTTGAAATGGAAATTGAATGAGCTTTAAATGGTATCGCAACTATAAGCGTGGTCATAATATTTTACTGTTTTAATGAAAGGCTGTAAACTACACACAAGACGCTTTCTTCCAAACTTCCCCTTTGCACATTACTCAGGCAACCTTTAGCACTAGCTCCACCATCTGCTAAGCCCAAGAACTGCAGGTCATTAACTATTCAGTCTCCTGCTGCAATGAGGACACTCATTAGCAAAATGAACAAAGGGACAATTTTCTGTAGCTACAGTCATCTGTTACACTTTGAGTGGCAGGTTTTGTAGCAATGTTCTCTCTACCATCTGCCCACAGCGGTAGCGTTTGGCTTGCTTAAACTGGGGAACTTTTAAGTTGTAAGAAAAAAGGGCTAAAGGTTGGAAGGCAATTATAACATGGCTTATACAGGATACTTCAACATTTCTCACCTTATCTAGTTTATTGCATTCATTCTAACATTTTTACTAACTTAAATTAAAAAATGTATATTTTAAGCCTTAATAAATTCACCTATATATTTATTTAATATTAGCTTTTACTGATTGTATACTTTTACAGTGATACTTCTAGTAGTACTAGATAGATCCGCATACATAATTTTGGACTATAACAAACTTAAACCAGATTCATCCATCGATAAGCACAGTATTATAGCCAAATGGTCCTTGAGGTAATGCTGGGAGAATATAGTTATTTGTTATGCAGTTCAGAACAACTCATTTCCCTTTGATATCTTGCATTATTTAATATACACTCAAAATAATTATCTGTTTGAATAACAGGTCTGATTTTTGCGCTTTTACTGCAAAGAAACAAAATGCAAATTACTGATGCTACCTTAACATATCAAACAAGAAAATATTTGAGCTTATGCTAGGGAAAATTATAAACTAAAGTTTGGATCTGCTGCTGAGATATTATGAATTTGCCTTGAAAACAAGACCTATTGTTGAACATCAGTCATTTAAATTATGATGTACCTTTCCCTTTCTAAGCTATACTTTAGGTATTTAAAGTCTATTATTTATACCACAAGAGGGTGCAATTGTACAAGATGTCATGAAAAACATTCAAAATGTACACGTTTTGAGTTGGAAGGGGAATGATCATTTCAGTGTTTATTTACATTTATTCTGGAAAATTATATATCCATAACATGTTACATAACACATTTATAATTTTAATTCTTTCACCAAAATTCTTTCTTGAATTATTATCTATACCTCTCAAATGTTGAGTGTGAAAAGTTCTAGCATGGCCTATGGTTGAACACAAGCCATTACTTTTCAGACAGTCACCCTCTTACTACACCCCTATCTTCAAATCAGCTAATGGATATATTCTAAAAGGGCTTCCAGTCTTGAAAATTTTGGGATATCAAGATGCCTTTATTCCTTTGGAAACATAATCCAATCAGCAATTATTATGTGGTTTCATCTCCTAGCCAATGTATTTGCTTATGTCGAGTCTTTTAAATCTAACAGAATGGAGGCACCTGCAAGGATGGGATTAACAAGTAACTACAGGCCCAAATAGCTCTTCTTATCTTTTTAAAGCATGGCAGAGCTGGAAAAAGAGTTAGGGTAGCATAGCTTTGGAGGGAGAATAGGCATTGCATTGCAAATTCCTTGATAGAGGAAAACAGAATGCTTTCTTTTGTATAAATGCAGAACCCTTGGAGAAGAAGCAGAGCTGATTCCTCATTTCCAGGTATTTTTTGAGATCTTTCACTGCTGAACGAGGGCTTTGCCCGAAGAAAATTTTGCTTCTTTCAAAAATTATGCAAAGTGCACGACCTAGACAGAATCTTATCTTATTGGAGTGACAAAGACAAATGTCAACAGTAGATATTTACCCTACAAGCTCCACAGTCCACATAACTAATGTAACACTGAAGTTCTCCTAAGTGAAAACTTCACCACGGTGCCTCCTAGTTTTCTCTGTAGGCAAACGGCCTCATACATGAATATTCACCTCTACCTATGGTCTGAAACTACAGACTTCAAGGAGCTTCCCACCCCTTTAGTTGAAGCAAAACTTTAGCTAAACTTTAAGGCATGACATACACATGTAGCACATTTAATGCTGTCTTTTAAACAGTGCTATTAAATCAAACACCTTGCAAAAGTCTTGTGTTGACAGGTACCATCCAACCAAATGGGTATACTACTGAAAAAAAAAAAAAAAATCAGCTTTGTCAGAAAATGTCTATTTTGTAAAATCTGTAATGCTGATTAAAAAAAGGTCAGAGTAAGTTTTTCATTATGTTAACATACTTAATACAAACAGGTCAGCTGTCTCCGGGGGATTCCTGAACCTAAGCTATTTGGGTTTCCTCACCTACAAATGCACATTCTCTGCAAATATTTTAAATCCTTTCTGGAGGCTAGTAAATTAGAAAGTAATTGTTACCCTGTGATACAGGCACATTGTTCTGCCTTCTATACATCCTTATACATCCTCTGCCTGCAATACATCCTTTTTTAAAATGCCCCCAGGATTTTCACATTATAACCAATTCTACAATTTTCATCTAATAGTAAGCTCATGCAATTGTAGCCATTTCCTTTGCTCCCAATATGTTAAGATTATTTTGTCCTTAATATTGCCATTTACAGTTCTTTTTTTGATTCGCTGTCCATTTTATACCCTTCAAAAACTTCCAGTATTAGTTGGCATCATTTTTTTTTTCCCCACGGGTTATATTCTGCTTTAATTTCCATGATTTGATAATGTAATCTTGCTGTAGAACTAAAATATGACTTGAGTAAAAGCTGTCCTCTCTTGATTATGCAACTACGTCTGGCTTTTTGATCACATAACATTTTTTTATTTGAGATTTCAGCTTTTTCATTCATATTCCTGGGTTCAGATTTTGAGCTTCAGTCAGTTTCACTCACCAATATGAACCAAGTTTTTGAAATATTCCAGTAGTGTGCATGCAATACCACTTTCATGTACTCACATATACCTTTAATTACTCATTTATAATTTCTTAGAAAACTATCTTCCTGTTCAGCAATAAATTTCAAGGTCTAAAATAAGCATTTTGTTATATTCATTTAAAAAGTTTTGATAGAAAATTCTCACAGATGAAACAATATAATTCAGAACAAGAAAATATTCCTAACCTTTGTCTTCACCTTTGTCTTCACATGATATGGATGAATGCTTAAAATTACTTTTTCTCTTTAAAAGTTTTTCACTTGTAATAGAACCTCACCAGAGAGCTTTGCTAGTGACAGTTCAGGATTATGAGATTCTTACTGTGCAGTTACCAAAAATTTAAAAAATGAATTGTTCTCTGATGTTGAATATACTCCTCTTGTTTTTTAATTAATTATTTTTTTAGCTGTTTCATCTTTTCTAAAAAGTTGTTTTAGTCAATGATTTTGACTTTACAGGTACAATTCTACCACATTTCAATGTTGTGGTTACATTACAGCACATTGTTTGATGGCAGCATGACTATGCCCATTTTCCCTCCCTCTTGGTTAAATCCTATTATTAGTGTACAGTTAATTACAATTTTTCTTCTCTTCACATCCTCTGCCATTTCAAACTAATGTCATTTGCTTGTAACACAAAAAGCTGGAATACTATTTACTTTCTCAGCTTATGCTATTAGTGAGAATCTACACATGATTTTTTTTTTTTTTTAATTATTATTTTATTATTTTTTTTTGTTAAGCAGGACCCAATATTTTAGACACCCTATGTGCATGTACTAATTTATTGCATCTGGCTCCAGAATGACAAACAGCTGATAGCTTGGGTATCTTTACAGTGGGTTTCACAGCCATTACAGTTGGTATACACACACCAGTTGTTCAAGAGGTAGAGTCCAACAGCTGCAGAACAATCTGATGATGCACCGAGGAATTCAGCATTGCAGGCACTAAAAATCTCCAAATACCTGAACTTGTGCCACTAAAAGCTGCAAGACAGCTTGAATTTTCCTGCTAAACTATTTGAATGATCAAAAATGTAACATCCAATTTCCAGTGGACGTTACAGACATTTCTTTACACTCTGCTTTCCAATCCAGTTAGGTGCACTAAAAGTACTCTCACCAAATCAGACCTTTTAAAAGATAGTGAAGACCCTGTACCCCTTAAATTCCACAGCCTACTGTGATAATGACAACGCTGGTTCACATCCAGCCTCTTCCTCTTCTGGAGAATCTGAATCATAAGGAATGCAATGACACCTTCCTATATGCACATGGGAGACTTGATTGCAGTCTTTGTTACAGAGAACATTTAAGTACACATATTTTCTTAAAGTAAGGCGGACTTATTGGGGCCAAATGAAGCAATGGAGAAATAAGCTGTTTCACTATTGACTGTTGTGGCTAACAAACCATTACAAGATGTAATTACTATCACTTCCTTCTGTACACAAGAACTACTGACCTGGCTTAAATATCAATTTCTAGAAAAGGTTGAATAGTTATGAATTCCAGCTGCAGAGAGATACCTCGTTTCTTTACAGGGTACATCTGCAACCCCATCTTTTTGCTTTACAGGTCATACTGTCTATCTTAGATGGCTGGCAGAAGAAGTAGATGGCATTTTCAGATCTCATAAGTACTATACATCTTAATGATGTATAGTAGCTGAGATGAAAAGGTAATCTAGTGTCAGGCTTTGCTAGAACCTCTTTAAAGCCTGAGCTTTTCATCAGTCTAAGACACATGTGAAGTTTTGGAAAGGTATTATAGATTTCTCACATTTCAGTGAACTGCAGACAAGTATACTTAATTCGCGTAGGACATGTTTATGTTACAGTGGGGATAAGGAGATGATGTATGGACTTATGTGGCTGAATTATGTTTACCATTTGAAGGCTACAGACTGAATATTTAAGGCAGTTCTTATAGCCTTTGTATCTAGCTATTTATGTCTGCATTTGTGGGGGAAAAAGAATCATAATTGAAAAGGGCTTTTCATATCTATTGATGGTAGTACCCAAGTAATTGTCATACTCAGCATTGCAGGAGTTAAGAAAAAATAAACATGAGAGATTTTAATCCTCATTTGGATACTTGAAATACCAGTTTAAATGATTAACAACACAATTATGAAGAAAATAAAATGATTTATTTCAGAAGTTATTTAGAGACAGAAGGAACAAAGAGAAACATGAAAAGAAGTAATGTAAGTAAATTCTGTAAGAAGCAGTAGGACACAGATGGACTTTTTGTAACTGAAATGTTCATGTATGGAACAAAAATTGCATTGAAAACAATATTTTATTAAAGATTTTTAAAATGTTTTTGTTAAGTATTTATAGAAGCATTTTGCATATATATATTTTTAATTAAAAACTAGACCAAAAGAGGCAGTACAACTACAAACCCTTGTTCAGACTATCACTGATAAATTATGTGAAATTAATAGAGTACTATAGATTATTTTAGTCAAAGTAGTTACCTTTAGCAAGGGTAATGTGCTAGTATTTTCCCATCGTAGTGTTTTCTATAAAAATAATGAGACTAGAAGTATACTTTGTAGAAGGTGTTTAAAGATTTTCACATTCAGACAATGAGATTATGATCTTTTTTAGAAAAAGAACATACCATTTTAGCCCTTCCTTTTTCTTGACATTCCTGCAGTTTTCTTTCCAGATTTTGAATTATGGACTCCTTCTCATGCAGTTTGTTACGTAAAAGCCTCAAAAGCTTTCCTGGTGAACATTCTGTGTCTTCTATATTTATGTTGTAATACTTCTATTACAAGAAGAGATTCTTGAATGACAGTCTTGCATAAACCACACAGACTTTTTTTGTTTAACTCTATAGATTATTATTATTATTATTATTATTTGTAATTTAAATAAATCATGGGACATATTTTACATTCCAGAGTTCTGTTATGGTATTGAAAATAAAATTTTACTGTATCTGACATTTCAAATATATAAGCAAGAAGTGAAAAAAATTTTGGGAAAAAAAATCCATATCTAATATATTTAAACAAACAAACAAAAAAAACCCTCATATAATAAAATATGCAGAAAGTAGAGCATATGTACAGTATGGCAAGATCATAAATGGTTTGGTTTGGAAGGGACTTTAAAGCTCATCCAGTTCTACTCCCTTGCCATGGGCAGGGACACCTCCCACCAGCCCAGGTTGCCAAAAGCCCAATCCAGCCTGGCCTTGAGCACCTCCAGGGATGGGGCATCCACAGCTTCTCTGGGCAGCCTGGGCCAGGGCTTCACCACACTCACAGTAACAAATTTACCATTACCCCTTGTCCCATCACTATACTCCCTGACAAAGAGTCCCTCCCCAGCTTTTCTGTAGGCCCCTTGGAGGTACTGAAAGGTCTCCCAGGAGCTCCAGGCTGAACAACCCCAGCTCCCTCAGCTCCTTCATCGGAGAAGTGCTCCAGCCCCTTGGTCATCTTCACAGCCTTCCTCTGGACCCACTCTAACAGCTCCACATCCTTCCTGTGGGCCCCAGGGCTGAACACAGGGCTCCAAGTGGGGTCTCACAAGAGCAGAGCAGAGGGGCAGAATCCCCTCCCTCGCCCTGCTGGCCACACTCCTTTTGATGCAGCCCAGGATCAGGCTGGCTTTCTGGGCTGCGAGCACACATTGCCAGCTCATGTCAGGCTTCTCGTCGACCAACACCCCCAAGTCTTTCTCCACAGGGCTGCTCTCAATCTATTCTCTGCCCAGCCTGTATTTATGTTTAGGATTGCCCCAGCCCAGGTGCAGGACCTTACACTTGGCCTTGTTGAACACCATGAGGTTCACACAGGCCCACCTCTCAGGCCCGCCCAGGTCCCTGTGGATGCCATCCCTTCCCTCCTGCATGTCGACTGCACCACACAGCTCGGTGTCATCCACAAACTTGCTGAGGGTGCAATTAAGTGAAGATAAACTATTAAAATGTTAACTTCTGAATTCCTGGCATTTATTTTTGCTTCTTGATTGCACTAGTACAGTTCTTAAATTGCATTAAAGCAATAAAAAATAAGCATCTACAATGGATGATTTACTTCCTATGTAGTCAAAAAATAAAAATAAGATTTTCAAAGAAAAAAATGTGCAGCCTCCCACTATACAGAAATGTGTATCCATGGTGGTATAGGGCCAACAACTGTCCATTACGAAACACTAAGCTTAGAAGTGTGTGTGAGCTCTCCCCTCATGAGTACCTAGACACCTAGTTTAAGTCTTTTTCCAAGGTCAGGTGATTAAATATTTTTTAACTTTCTTAAAATATTAATATGAGCAGCAATAGCTACCTCTAGTGCAATACCCTAAGAACTGTAGCACTTACTGAGGAATTGAAAGAAGCAGGGTTCGATTCTTTCCCCAGATACAGTGGAGTCAAACTCAGTTCTTTCTCAGAGCACTCTACTTTCTGAGCTTGCATGCCTAGCATGGGGTCAATCTTTACCTGGTCGCTAAACCTGGTCTGAAAGTATCCAAGAATAATGCAAGATTTTCCAAAAGGAAAGAAAACCAAAGGGAATGTGACCCTGAAATTTAATTCCCTGCTGCTACTACACACTCCATGGAATTCAAAAGCTTTGTTTGTTTGTTTGTTTTAACCACAGAGTGATTACATGAACTAGAATTGGGAAAGAGAACTTTTCACACACAAAATAAAGCTTCCATTATTCCAGATGGTCTGTGTAGCAGTTACTTGATCACATGTAGACATTCACATTTTAGCTTTCACACTTTGCTTTTTTAATAGAAGAAGAAAGACAAAATTTAAGTTCCATACTTTCTAAGTTGGATCATTATTACTGTTCCCATTACACTCAAACCTGTTAATAAAAGTTTGCAGCACAGTCCCTAGAGGGCAGTAGAAAGTCACTCTGAGTGCACATGATCAGTCATCATTATCTCTATCTGGCAGCCTCAGTGTTCAATTATCAAATTTATCAAGACATTTTCAATTTTTGTTGAATGGAATTTTATGTGATCACTATGCTTCTGCTTCTGAAGAGACCCAGTTATAGACTGTCTACATTTATAGTAACATAATTACAAAAGCAGAGCTCTATATTCTATATTAAGCCAACTTCATCCACCTTTTACAGCTGCCACATCTCTACTGTGAATTCAAACAAGTTTACCTTCCCACTGGCCAGTAGTTCCAGGAGATCCCTTCATTTGCTCTGGCTTTACTATCCTCATGCAAAAATAAGCACTGACTGCCTATATCGATCTAATCCTTTGCTTTTTTTTTTATTTTATTTTTTTATTTTTATTTTTTTGTGGTCATTTATTTTTCACTAGTCAAGAAACGCAAAGTTGTGTAATTTTTGCTTTCTTCCACTGATGCCTACTAATATACTCCCTATGTATGAGGTAGTAACACTGTTACTTATCTAAAACTATATTCAAGAATGTTAAACTGCCCACTTTAATACTAGAGGGGGGAAAAACAGTACTTGTAAAAACAACATTTTGTGTTCATTATATTATTTCTACTTAATATAGTTTACATGCTTAGCCTTCATGGAAAATTTAAACATATCCTTCTCCATATTTAAGGAGTGTACTGACTTATGACATATTACTACTCCAATCAGCAGTCTACTACCACGTTAATGGTTAAAACCCACCTCAATATTTCCTCTGAGAATAGCCAATGCATCACATAACTGTTGTTGGTAGCTCTGACGAATTTGGATTTCTTTCTGCAATTTGATGAGCAATAATAGGAGGCAGACAATCACTAAATAATCAAACAAACCCAAACAAACAAAATAATAATAATAATAATAATAATAATAATAATAAAACAAGAACTTGAACTGTGCCTTCTTTTAAGAAAATTAAATACTATTAAAACTCTTGAATTTGAAAGAAAAAATACTAAGCTTATGTCCCTTTTCTATCATTTTTTTCCCCTGACACATTCTTCAATTCCTTTTCAGCTTTCGGCTAATTAATCAAACTGTATTTCTTCCTCTATAAAAGGTAGGTTCCCAACTGCTTTAAATACAAGCACTTATGTTTCAGATGTTTAAAATAGGAATTCATACCTTTCCTTTTTTTTTTTTTAACTTTTGCTTTTTTATGCTCATATCAGAAGCTTAAAAATGAGGTTGAATCTTTGCTGGTACTTCTTCCTTGTAGTGAGTGCAACCTAGTTGCAACATGATTGACTACAAGCATTAATGGTGTCATGGACTTTGATCCATGAGACCCTGAAGATCTCATGGAAGGTCCTAAAGATCACTGAATATATACTTTCAAATAAATGTATGGGAACAGAACAGTAAATAATGGATGCACACAAAGTGTGCTACATTTCTTGCCTGTTACAATATTATTATGAAGAATTTTACTAGAAATAACTACACTAGAATTTAAGACATTTTCATAGCTATCATTGTTAGTATGCAGAGAGTACAACACAATCCATGTTATGTTAATTGCAAATTTGCAAAAGACACCTTACACAGTAATTTTTTTTTAAATCTATGCTAGCATTTTACTTTATTTTCTTATTTTCAATACTTCTGTGAATTGCTTTTTATTAAGTAAAATATGATATTAAGCCACACAAGGAGGCTATATGAATGAGAACTGACATATATTGAAGATTAACATAGAAGTGACCAAGAATTTTTCTCTTTACCCGTTTATGAAAAGACTCAATGTCTGTCAGTCTATCCTTTATATATTTACAGAGATTTGAAGCCTGCTCTTCAATTTTTTTTTCATATTGCGCTTGAATGGTGCTTTTGTAGATGGACAAATCTTGCTGGAGGGATTGAGCGAGCTAAAAATCAAAATTCTGCTATTATTTATTTTTATATACAAAGTAAGATAAACAAATAAAAGTTTAACCATTCCATTACTGTGTTCAAGACTATCATCATTCACAGGTGGCATCATTCATTCACCTAAACACAAGTATCTAATGCATTTCTATGCCCTGTTATATGTAAAGATACTTAGCTTTCTCAAAATGAAGCATTTTAGGAATACAAAAATCTGCCAAATGGTAACTACTCAGATTTTGCAGAACAGATCCATACACGTGTATCAATACAGACATCAAAATGAAAGCCTAGAAGTGTTCAAAACCTGTTCATGAAATTTAAGTTAGTACTCTGCAAAGTATTTTACAGGAACAGCACAAAAATATCTGCATTTTTGCAAAAAGTGACAGAGGAAGTGTTGTAGGAAATGCACTGTTTTTCACTGACTTAGATGAGCAAAACAAAAATCTTCCAGGGAAATGAAGTAGAAATCGATATTGCTTCTACAAATAGTACCAAAAGCACTGAATTTTAATTCTTGTGTATATTTACGCGCCATTTGAAAATTGGAAAGTGTTTTTTTTTTTTTTTCTAGGAAATTAACTTTTTGCACATATAATTATTTTATATCCTGAACCACCTTCTTTTGCAATTTCTAACACAGTTAAGGGACAGACAGAAATGTCTCATTTTGATGGAATGGATCTCCCTCCACAGGTCTCTAGAGGAACCAGTCTTCCTTCACAAATTGTTAAAGCATTTATGTTAAGCAAGCTGCAATGTTCCTCATTATGGACTGCATTCTTCCTCCAAAATCTAAGCTTTAAATTTCAGTGAAACACCGTTTAGGTTACACATATTACTGTGCAATAGCAGATAATACCATTTGGACCTTCCTTCTAACTTACTCTGTATATGATTCGTGCAAAGCGGAAGCACTGGAGTATTTTATTAAATCTCCTTAAATGGATGTTTTAGGTCACCTTATAGGTGGGTATTTATTATTATATATAGGTGGGTCACCTTGTAGATAGGTATCAATGGAATGGATAGGCCCACATTCAATTCCAGACTTATAGCCCCTATCAAACAAGATTAAGTCTTCAGAATTTATCATTTTCAGCATTAAACAATGGTAATCCCTACATAATCTTCTCTGATGCAACAGTGTGCTATTCTATTTTGAAAACAAAAATTTATGTAATTTGTCTGAAATAGGTATATGAAGACAGAAAAAAAAGTCAAAATAGATCGCTTAAATATTACACAAAATAGAGATGACTGACAAAAGTATGTATACCACGAGAAAAACTAATACTTTCCTAATTTACCTTGATTAAAGCTTGCGTAGCAGTTGCTAGCTCATTTAATTCTGGGATGTCTTTGATATCTGTTTGTGTTGCATGATCTCTGCTGGCACATCCTATTTTTAAATCATCTGAAATGCAAGACCTGCAGAAACAGACAGATTTGGAAAACAAAACAAAACCATACTTTAAATAGTATAGTAGTTGCTTTAATAAAGTTAATCAATCTATTAATAATGGATATTCAGAGATAAAGTGCCTATAATTTATTTTTTCATTGCATTTGTATGGCTTTTATAAGATAAAGTGTAGCAAACACATCAGTAGCTTCTTTCTGTATTTTTGTTTCATGAAGACAAATGTTTTCAATCAAATACTGAATAACAACTAAAATTCAAGCAACACTACCATTACATGAAAGAACATAAAAAGCTAAATAAGTGTTTGCATTCTAAGAGAAAATAGATATTTTTCAGTGTTGTTTAGAGAAATACATCAGACCAAAAACTGGACTGTAGACTTATTTAGGAGCTTGATCTTCTATTTCACTGAAAAAAAAATATTATTTGTATATTACTAATTTCATCAAAATGACACTTAATGCCATTACATTCTTAATAAAACATTAGATCATTGGATTGTTAAATATTTAGGATTTTTGGTGCTGTCAGAATTCTGTTATAAAAGGATAGCGTCAGACATTTCTTGCCCAGGTCTACCTAATTTGTAAGTGATCAAAACTGGACAAATTGACTCAAAATTTTAATGTCACTCAGTCAGAGGTCTTCCGAAGACCCCTATATTCTGTGAACATTCAGGCACATTCCCAGTATTATTACTGTCGAATATGAGCGGCTGTGACGCTGTATCAATCCCCAGATCTCAGCGTTTTAGGGTGGGATGCATGAAACCTCTCACCGACGTGAGATCACACTGTGAGAAGCACAACCAAAAGGAAAGAATAACCCTGGGCTACGTTAACTTTAATTTTGCGTGCAGGGAGACTCCTTTCAATTTAAGCACAAGGAGATTCCCCACGACCGGCCTCACCGGTGCTGGGGTTGGGGTTGGGGCTGGTGCTGGGGCTGGGACCGAGGCAGGCGGCAGGGCAGCGCCAGCAGCTCCAGCGTCGCCGGGGCGAGGTAGCGGGCCCATGGCTGCGGGCAGGCGGCGGCCGCCCCCGCCTCACGGCCGCTCATGGCCGGGCTGGGCCGCGCCGGGGCCGCCGCGCCGCACCCGTGGCAACCAGCGCCCGCCCCGGCAGGCGGAGCGCAGCGGGGACGCTTCCGTTCGGGAAGGGGAAGCGGCGGCTGTCACAGGGGGCCCGCGGCCCCCCCGGGGTGGGTGGGGTGCGTTTCGTCTGCTCGTCAGCCCCCTCTGCCTTCCAGGTAATGGGTGTGTGGTTAGGAGCAGCTGGCTGCCCGCGGGAGCTGCTGGATTGAAATGTAAATGGTGAGGCCCTCTTGGGTTTGCACTGAGCGGGACCTGAGGAGAGCTGGTGCGCTGTGCCTAAATTCCTGGCAGGTAAAGAACCCCCCCCCCCCCGCCATCATGGCATGTTGCAGAGAAATTCTTTAATTGTTTTAGGTGATTATCAGGCACCCAAGCAGGACCTTGATCATCCTGGATGTGGAGTGAGGCGCTGGAGGTGGAAGAAAGCCAAATTTCTTTCTGGTTATGACTGCAAGCTAGAAAAGGGTGATGTCAAACACTTATCAGCTACTCATAACAACTTATTTGCTTTCAGTGTAATAACAAAGGTAGGTTTTTATTTATTTTTTTTTTTTTTTTAATGTTTGAGATACCCGTATGATGACCAGAAGCTACTCAGAATATTCTTGTAATTCTCCCTGGATAGAAGTCCGTCAGACAGTATGGGCTAGCTGGAAAAAAATACTTAGTTATTAGTCTGTGTTTCAATGCACTGTGATCTGCAGTGCTCTGAAATCAGTAATTAGCATTTGCACTAAAAGTCACTTCAGTTTTGTCTGAACTCAAGTTGCACATAGAGAGAAGGCACCTGTTTAAGAACAAACCACATCCATGCAGCCCAATCCTATAAATAGAGAAGCAAAATAATGGCTTATCTAACAAATTGTAGGGATTTTTAAATGGGATGAATTCTAATCTTTCTAGGATTATCACCTATGTCTGTTCAATGTGATATATAATATTTATGGAACAGAAGTTATTACAAACTATGTTTACATAATAAATCATCATTTATGATATTTGGAGTCGTTAGCATGGATGAAATATTGCAAATTGCTGTGAATCCATAAGGTGTAAAGGATTTGTATGGCTTATAGAAAAAGTGTGCCTTCAATTTTGAGAATTAAAACAATTTTATTATTTGTGCCTCTTTTTTGTAATCTCTGGGCACCATTTCACTTTGTCCACAGAAGAAATATGGAAAGAGATAGAAACTAACGTGAAATTTAAATTGCTAAGTTTTCTCTCTTTCTTGAGTTCAAGCTGAAAAAGATGTAAAGCAACAATCTTTTTATATCAGAGAAATGTAATTGGTAAGAAACGAGCAGATGTCATCACTACTTAAACAAATGTTACTAAAGTTAATATAAATAGGGTGATGTCATTATGAAGTCATGTGCTTGTAACTCAGGCGTTCTCTGACATTTTCTCTCAGTTTAGCAAAAATAATAAAGGCAATTGAGTGAAAAGCAAAGATTGTTACTTGGCTTACAAATACCATTTGTAAAACTTGCCTTACTTTTAGGACAAGCAATAATAATGTATAGAGGAGTTCATTTTGTTTGGGGAAGAAGTGTAATTTTCCATTGGAAACAGAAATGTTTTATTAACATAGGCTGTAGTGTGATACATGGAAAAACTGCCCCCAAATTACATCTGTGTTCCACTGATATACAGGAATCAGATTAAAGGTTAAGAAAACTGTTTTTCATAATCCCATATATTGCTTGGATACATGTGAGAGGAACAGGGCGATACTGACCTGATAATTCACATTTATTTATAAACAGAAAAAATGACACTTTGCTTATGATGTGTTTTATCTTGTTGTAGTTGTTTTCTTACTTTTGATTACAGCCTGGTCTTACTATTGTAACTACTACATTTACGTTAAGTAGCTTGATGCTTCACGCCTTAATTACTGCAGTCATTACCTTGTTTATTTAGAAACATTGTTGCTGTCTAGTCTATATAAGGTAAGCTACTGAATCTTCTGAGATAATAATCAAAAGTTATTTGTTTATTGTCTTCGTTCATCAAATTCCCTGAAGAGGATTTTATGTTATTTTAACCTAGTTAGGAGCTGTTGAAAATGGATTTGGAATGGTGCTGGTGCCAAATCTTAAATATAGCACTTATGACATAATAAAATATTGGCTTTAATTTTACAAAATGAGGTTGGTTGTCTCTCCAGGACAGCTGCTCTTTCACTAGTGGGTTGGGTTTTCTCTTTCCTGTGGTTCCACAAGTGGGAGATAAGGCTTCTGCATCAGCATCACTCCTCACCATGGCTTCTTGCTGAGCTTAGATGAAGTTGACTTCTAGGGAACTGATGTTTACAGTTGAACATAACATCTTTTTTAAAACTAGATGCTCTTTTATTACTTAACTAAAACACAGTATTTGGTGTCCGTTATGTCAGAATAGAACAAGAAAGCTTTTGTATATATGTAATATGCCCGTTTGTCTCTTTAGCTTGGAAATGTCCGGATTCAACAACACAAGGGAATTGGCAAAACACGATGAAGCTCCTGTCCCATTCAGCTACCTCAGATTTTGCTTCAGTGTCTAATTGTGATCATTTTACACATCCTGCCTCCTTTGACTGACAGTCATCAAGAGTAAAGGGTCAAATTGTCTTAGTCCTATATTTCAGAGAAACAGAGTAGGTTGCAACACAAGTATGACAACTCAAACAATGCATGTATTTCCTATTTTTTTTCCTGATTATTGGAGGCATTTTTGACCCAAGAGAAATACAGTAAGTCTGTTTTATTCTCACTGTCTGTGTTGGAACAAGTGAACAGGTCTTTAGGTATATAGTTTGTTTTGAAGGCCATTAAAGCAGCTGCAAACTTCAAACAAGATGTAAGACAGTTGCTCTTTGTTCAGACTAATGACATAAATCCCTCAAACAATTTGTAAAAAAAAAAAAAATAAAATAAATAAAAGTGAAGTAGCACTTTCAGAAGATGGATGTATTTGCAGGAGGAGAGAATGACAGATCACAAACCCCTTGGGAAACAGAAATAAATGGAACAAAGTAGCGGGATGAGGTTTTACTGCACATACAGATTAAAGTCTTTACCAAGCTATTGCCATACTGATATCATTAAACCAAAATGGTCCTTGCATTCACAGGCCATCCTGTTTTCAACATACTGCTACTAGTATTTTGTTACCAGGATCCTTCCATGAAATTATTTGCAATTATGTCATATCTGAAAGCCAAGGCTCTGAATCAAGACTAAATTTATTCATTGCCAGGTTGTATCCATTTCAGTTTGGCCAGCACTGTCCTTTAACTTAATCAGCTCTTCTTGCTGCCTAGTATTTCATCTGTGAGGTATTTATAGACAGCCCTTTTCAATCTTCTTTAGATAACGTAAGCCAAGAATGTTTGGTCTCCTCTTGTTAGGGTGTCACCAGTGCTGTGGTCATTTTAATTCCCCCTTGCTTATGTTCCAGTCAAAATTTAACATCCTTAAGCAATGTTGACCAGAAATAGATATGATATTCCAGATGAGAAGGGATAACGATGAAGCTATTTCACTATTGCATACCATGTGTTGATTTTTCTTCTCTCCTGATGATTTCCCACAGCTGATATTCTGCTAATAGCAGAAATACTTACCTGTCACCAGGTGGATGATCTTCCATTTGCAGTGCTGAATTTCATCTATCCACATAGGCAACTCCATTCCCAGTCTCCAAATGTTTCCAGTATGATATTTCAAAAATCATTACAGTAACAATGTTGCTCAGCTCTACAGCCATTAGTGAAAGTCAATAGCACAGCATGTGCCAGAGTAATTAATGAAAATATTAAACAAAGTCAGTCCCAGGACTAATTTTTAAAGAACTCCACTGGCAAGCTTCTTTCAGCATAATGATTCCTTTAAATTATCTGCAGCTTTCTCTCCTCTAATGAGTCCCACAGCTGCCTTGTAGTTCTTGTTCTAATTCCCATTTTCATTGGTTTAATAATATTTCACACTGTGCAGTATCAGAAACTTTATTTAGATCCAGCAAGATTAGATACACTAAATTTTCTCTAGTAATTTTATACCAAATTCAGAGGGGCATGCACAAAGCCCTCTGTTCATCAGGAAGGCCCAGGTCTGATACAGTAAGTTAATTTTAGTTGGGATTCTCACACTGAATTACTAAATGAGTACAGATTAAGTTTTATAAAATTGTACTTGCATAGAAATCACAATTAGAAAAATGTTTATATTTTCATGTATGGATAATACATGAGAACTAACTTGTAATTAGTACTTTTTTATAACAATTGTAATGTTTCAAATGTACTTGAATAAGTACAGAAACTGACATTGCTGAAATCTAATTTTTAAATTTCTATAGATGATCACTCATAACTGTAGAAACACTACTTTGTTTTTCAGGGTGACCAAATTGAGTTAAGATTCTATCTTGTTGGTAGTTACTGGTATAAACTGACTAATTGGAGTGTAGTTGTTCCCAGCTTCTTCCAGTGAAAAAGACATTGGACTTGGGCTCACTGTTACACTCTTTTTCAATTACCTCTCACTATATTGGAACTTTGAAAATGTTGGATCAGAAAAATAATGGTGTATTCTGCATTTAGCCATGAAAAACTAGGTTAAGAAAGGTTTGCCTGTTTACAGGGTAGGATGTTAATAAGGATTAATTGATGTCATCCCTCCTCTCTAATGGCTCTACCTGCCTTATTTTTTCTCATTAGACAGTGGAGTTAAATAGCTGTGATCTGACCTTGCCATAACAGTTAGCTCTACGCGATGTAGGTGGAAACAAAGCAGGTTTGTAATTGCAATGAGGTACGTTCTTTCCGTAAATTTCATCAGGGCTAGAACATTACTTGTTGGGCTGGTTATACCGTGCGTAACCACAGTCCTTTCCCACAGGATGGACCAAGCAGTGGAGTAACAAAGGTATTTTATGTAATTATATGTTATTCCGTGACTCTGAAAACATTAACTATGTAGTGTGGTTTTCTGCTACAATCCTTGTCTGTGTGAAGTGATGGTACCTCCTTTGGCTGTTTCCTGGTGGAAAAAAAAGGTAAGGAAAGCTCTGCATTGCAGGGTTTTGGAGGACAGAGCAGATGAGACTGCCATTTGAATCAGTCTCTGAAGCCTTTCTGTTGCAAGGCCACCCATGGAAATGTTGGATGCTTATTGCCTTATTGAAGCATGTTTTAGCTTCAGGAGTAGGCAGTACTGCAATTTCTTTTCTACCACAGTTTTTTTTTTTTTTACATTTACTTTTTTTTGTTTGTTTGTTTTTTTAAATCAAGATTAATCTATTAATGATATTTCCTGTAATTGTACATGACGATTTCCTGCTTCTGTTATTTCTGTACTGCAAACTTCCTCTACTAGCTTCACGGTCTGTTCTTGTCAGAACTCTGTTCTGCTCTTGGTATGAACCAGAATATCCAGTTGCCTCAACTCTAAATTTGCCATTGACCAACATGAAAGGAAAAAAAGTTATCTGATATAGGAAATCAAATAGTTAATAAAATATAGACATAGCAAACGCTTCTATATCATTTGAGGTTTATTAAGATATAAGCCTTTCTAAATTCCATACACATTTTGAAGCTTGTTTACATCACATTATTACTTTTTTTTTTTTTCCTCAGAGAAAATAGCATTGTTGATCCCTTTATTTTTCTGATAGCATCTTAAGGCTGTATTCACAATGAGCACCACAAATGCCATCTACAGTTCTGAGTAGAAATGAGAGACTTGACCTGCGTCATAGCTCACATTTAGAGGCTCGCTTATCAAGTGGGATATGACTATGAGACCCTGAGATATGAGTGAATGTCTAAATTTATCACCAACAGTCCTTTTTCCACAGTCTTGACACATGATGTCACACTGTCGGTTACATCTCTAATGACTAGTGCACCCATACAATGAGTATGATTTTAACATGACAGTATAATAGAAGCTAAACAACAAATTGTGAGGCAACTCCCTAAGATACATCCCTTGTTTTATGCAGCATTTATACTTCAAAAGTAAGTGTTGATATGCTTACTCTTCATTTTATGTTAGTGGTATGTTAAGGGTTCAAGGAAGTAGATACTCTACAGAATAAAGGGTCATCATAAGGCCATCACAAAGAAGATGGCATCAACAGAAGAAAAAAGAGACTGGGAATGGAAAGAGCAGAATTGGTTCTTGTGGCAGTGCTGTTAGTTCATGATGTCTTCACAAGTTCATTTAACTATACGCTGAATAACTTACCTGTAAGCTGGTAATTTTATGAAAGGAATGATGTGATCACCTGCAGCAACAAAAGATAAAATGAATGATTTGGGATGTTCTTTCTAGTTCCAGCTCATGTATTTCTTCCCTGTCTTGGAGGATCCTTGGTTTATATCCATAGTATGTATATATTTTTCTATTATTTTTTAACTTTGTCCTTGACATACTACTTTAAATTATTAATAAAAAATAAGCATCTCATTGTCCAATTATGTACAAAGAGCTATGAATTCATGAAATACTTCAGCCAGAAATATCTTTGGCTGAAGGACAGTTACGTTACCAAGAAGAAAAAAAAAAGGCTCTGGAAATGCTTATTCAATGTCATTCAATACATCATTTAAGCTAGCTTCTCTCCCCTTCTTCACTAATAAATGATCCTGCTGATGTAATTAACTTGTCTCTTCTGTGTCAATCATTTAAAGTAGTTCCACTCTTAGGAACTTCAGTTTTACGTCACTGAATGCCACCGTTTTTCCACAGCTGTTTTTATATTGTGGTCTGCCTTCTAAACAATCTGAACAATTCCTGGCATGTACAGCGTAACCAGGGATAATGATTATGTCAGGAGAAACTTTAACCTCAAGAGATATTTATGCTTTATTACTACAGAGATTGCTTTAAGATCTATTCTGTATTAGCAAGGGAATCAGAAAGCTGGGAACAGTAATTTATGGAAGACGGTCAAAGGCATCTCCATGTTATGTTCTGCTTGCTTTACAAAGCCTTCTAGTGCCTGTGTGGCCACAGTATGCAGGCAAAAGTGACAGAAGCTGAAAATGTCAGAATATTCTGGAAGCAGTTGATCTGTGCATCGTGTTTTATCCAGGCCACTCTGAAAAGCAGAGTTTAATTTTTCCCCAACAGCTGCTGTAGCTCCAGCTCAGTGAAACAGCAAAACAACTTCTTCTGGTAGTAAAAGGTACCAAAGGCATAATCACGTGCCCTGTCCTTTTATAGATACCCTTGCTTTGAAGAAGTTCAAATTCTTCCTTGAAATTTAATTCTCACAGGGACTGTATTCATAGCACCTGATCATTCCTCTCTGTTGCCACCCTTTTCTTCAGCCTGGGACCCTTGAGCAAACCATGGATTAAGAAGTAATTGTTAAAAACAGAAGTCAGATATTTAGAAAATGACCTTTCAGGTATGTGCTGACTTCTTGGTACCTCCTTCTATGAAAGCTGAGAACTAGCCATGAAAGGCTTGTGCTGCAGAGGCTCAATGGGATTTTTGTCATTGTTTTCACAAGAGATTGGATTCCACCCGAGCCAAATGCATATGACTAATTCTGGGTGCTCAGTCATGGAAAATGTTGGCCACATTGCACTGTCAGTGTTTAATAACAGGTAAAAAGCATCAAGGTGAACTTCTCTTTCTATTTACTTTGCATGGGAGATAATTAGTATGTTGAAAGCAATATACTATTAACACTAATACAGCAGTATAAATGTTTGTTTTGTCACTAGTTACCTAGTAACAGATTTTGATTGTATTTTAACATTATTAGGAAGCTGACTACATGCATTTTAACTGAAAACAGGAATGGCATTATTTACACCTGTTTATAGATGAAAAGAGAATAAAAGAATGATGCATCTGATAACATTACAAAAACTGCTGGCATATTTAGCATCTGTTTCAGGGTGCTTCTTGGATTTTTGTTCAGCTATAAATAACCTTTTTGTCCAGAATATGCTGTAGCAGAGCATCAGAATTTTTGACAGGAAGTAAACAAATGAGGTTTAACAAGAGCAAGCATAGAGTCCTGCACCTGGGAAGGAACAACCACATGTATCAGTACAGGCTGAGGGTTGACCTGCTGGAGAGAAGCTCTGTGGAGGAAGACCTGGGGGGGCCTGGTGGATGACAGGTTGACCATGAGCCAGCAGTGTGCCCTGGTGGCCAAGAAGGCCAGTGGGATAAGTGTGGGAGACAGAGGAATTTGGCCAACCTCCTTTTCATAGAATCACAGAATCATAGAATATCCTGACTTGGAAGGGACCCTTAAGGATCATCAAGTCCAACTCTTGACACCGCGGTTTTACAGGTTTGTGGGGCAGGACAAGGGGCAATGGTCAAAAAATGGATCACAGGAAGTTCTGCACCAACATGTGAAAGGACTTCTTCATGGTGAGGGTGATGGAGCACTGGGACAGGCTGCACAGGGAGGTTGTGGAGTCTCCTTCTCTGGAGATACTCAAGGCCCATCTGGATGCCTCCCTGGGCAGCCTGCTCTAGGGAACCTGCTTTGGCAGGGGGGTTGGACCTGATGATCTCTGGAGGTCCCTTCCAGCCCCTACAATTCTGTGATTCTGTGATCAGAATACTAACACGATGGAAACTTGGGCATACATAATGAATCTGGTTCTTTCCTCAAAGGAAGCACCACAAATGCTGTACCTCATCGTAACTAACAATCAGAATTAAACAGCTGCCCATCAGCTACTGTACCACCGTTCCAAATAACCTATGGTTTTGGAGAGGTGGAACAGTCATTATTGGGAGTTTCTGTAATATCGTAGGAGACAGAAAACAGCAGTACTGCATATTCAAACTGCAGCACTCATTTTTAACAGAAGTTATTCTCCTGCATCCATTTAGTGCTCTCTAACAGGAAGAGCTGCCTCTCTCTGTGCCTCCCCCCCAACTCATTTACCATACTATTTAAGACCTTAAACCCACCACCCTGAAGTCGGCTCTGGCATTCACCTGTGGGCAGAACGATTCACTAAGCAAAAATGTAGACATAAATTTTTTAAAGTAAAAAATGTGGGCAGAAGAGCCGGTGAGCATTAAGTAATGTACATCTTTATTACAGTAACAACGCAAAAACCCCACAGTGAACAGCTATTGGCACGTTTTAAACCCTCTGGGAAGGGACAACTTCCAGTGATTTTACATTAGATCACCTCTGAATATATTAGAATTCATTTTAGCTTGGGAATATACCTTGTAAAATTTTGATTAAGAAGCAAAACTAAGCAGGAATCTTTCTTTTGCTCCAGGCCTTCGTTTTAAGGAGGAAAGCACTTCAATTTACTACCACTTGGCTCGTTTGTTTCCTCTCAGAGCCATTTGTCATCCAGAAATACAGATTCACTGGCTGATCTCACATGCTATATTTAAGGCAGAGTGCTGAACATTCAGAAATACAGGAGTCACTCCGTAATTTCAGAGCAGCTGTAATACCTTATCGCCCTGTAAGCGGCTGCCAGAAGCGCTCCTGGCTAATGCCCATCGCCATTTGTCCACAAGTGTCAGCTTGCTGGCTGGGGCAGGGAAATCAGGGATTTGATTCAGATCTGATACACCTCTTACACTTCAAAGGCAATGATTTTGGGTACGTGTTGACTAAATTTTTAGGAAAAGGCTCCCCGTAGTGCATGGGACTGGATGCTGTGTTTTAGCCAAAACAAAAAGGGAAAGCAGATCTGAGGACTGTGCCCTTGAGCACCCCCAGTTTTTAGCATCGAGGATTTCAGCGTTTCTCATTCTGTGTGAAAGGTGAGGAGATCAGAAAATATGTTCTGAATAAAAATGATGCGTGGTGTTGGGGGTACCACTGGACATGCGTTCAAACCACACCTAAGGCTCCAAGGAAGCAGTTATTTTATTTTTGACACTGTGGCCACGAGTGATTCTCTTAGTTAAGACTTGTTTTTATTATTTAATGAAAATAGGAACAAGGACAATTCCCCGTGATCTTTTTCAGCTGTGTTTTCAACCCCCCCCGCCCTGTGGTATTCACCCACCGCCCCCAACTTCGTTACGGACGCCTTGAGGCAGCTGGGGGGGGCGTGTCCTCACGAAGCGCCGCCCCCCGCATTCCAACGTGCCCAGGCCCTGAGGTAAACACAGCGGCGGCCCCGCCCCCCCCGGGCCCGGCCTCCAGCAGCTTCCAGAAGGGCCCGGGCCCGCCGCGCGCGTGCCCGCGGAGAGGGGGGGGGGGGCGGCGGGAGCGCGCGCGGCGCTTGTGGCGCAGGCGGAATTGGGGGCGGCGGAGGCGGGGAGGGGCCGGGCCGGGCCGGGCTGTGAGGGGAGGGCCGGGCGGGCAGGGGGTGATGCCCGCGTTTATTTTTACCCCCGCCGCTCCCCGCTCCCCGCCCCGGCTGCGGCGGCGCCGCCTATAAAGCGGCGGGGGGGCGGCGAGGATGCAGCTGTACAGCTCGGTCATCACCCACTACCCGCCGGGCGCCGCTCCCCCGGCCACCGCCACCACCGCGGCCGTCTTCAAGGTCTCGCTGCCGCCGGGACCCCCCCCCTCGGCTGAGGCGTCCAAGAGCGGAGCCGCGGGGCCCGGCCCGGCCGCGGGGAGCCCGGCGAAGGACGGCTCCGGGATCACCTCCACCACCAGCAGCACCAGCAGCAGCAGCGCCGGGAGCGGCAGCGCCATGCCCGCCTTCTCCTCCTGCCTGCAGGTGATGCCGGCGGCCAGCCCCGCCGGCCCGCACTACAGCTCCTGCGCCCACATCGCCGTGACCGCCCGGCGCCGCCGCCCGCTGGAGCGGATCGTGCCCATACGGGCAGTGCAGCGGGGCGAGGCTCGCCCGGAGCCGCCGCACAGCCCGGGCTGGCTGGAGGGAGTCCTGGAGGCCGTGCGGCAGCCCCCGGGGGAAGCAGAAGCCTCGGTCGCTACCGCCACCGCCGTCATCCCGAGGCCCGCCGAGGAGCCCAGCAACCGCAGCCTGCGCCTCAGCGAGCACCGCCAGGCGCTGCAGGCCGCCGCCGGCAGGCCCCGGAGCCGTGAGGGAGAGGAGAAGGAGGAGGAGGAGGAGGGGGAGGAAGGCGGCCGTGTGGCCCCCTCCGCTCCCCGGGGGCTGTGCGGGCGAGCGGAGCGCAGCGAGAAGCTGGCGCTGTACCTGGCCGAGGTGGAGAAGCAGGACGGGTACCTGCGGCAGAAGGGCCGGTTCCGCTTCCACATCATCCCCGACGGCAACTGCCTGTACCGAGCCGTCTGCAAGGCGCTGTACGGAGACCAGCGGCTGCACGGCGAGCTCCGCGAGCAGACGGTGCACTACATCGCCGACCACCTGGACCACTTCAGCCCCATCATCGAGGGCGACGTGGGAGAGTTCCTCATCGCCGCCGCACAGGACGGAGCCTGGGCCGGCTACCCGGAGCTGCTGGCCATGGGGCAGATGCTCAACGTGAACATCCACCTGACGACGGGCGGCCGGCCTGAGAGCCCCACCGTGTCCACCATGGTTCACTACCTGGGGCCCGAGGACCCGACGCGGCCCAGCATCTGGCTGAGCTGGCTCAGCAACGGGCACTACGATGCCGTGCTGGACCGCCTGTGCCCCAACCCGGAGTACGAGGCGTGGTGCAGACAGACTCAGGTGCAGCGCAGGCGGGACGAGGAGCTGGCCAAGTCCATGGCAGTGTCCCTGTCC